AAAAACAACAACAAAAAAAACAAACCAGGCTCTGGCTTTTTGAGTTTGAAAATAACTGTTCTTGTTTGGGTTCCCCTAGGATTTAGAGCAAGCTGGTGTGAGAGACTTGATTTCATAGAAGCTTGGTTTGGTAGAAGGTATTGATTCTGTAGAAGCTTTGAACCATAGAAACTTTTGTGGGTATTTCAGTCCTCTGTTGTTCTTTGGTTCATAGGAGAGGCTTCTGATCTTAGGCAGACTCAGCTCACCTACCACATAACTTTTGCCTTGTCACTGGGCTGGAAATGGAGGGATGAGTGTGTGTGCATGTGTGTGTATATGTATGTGTATGGTACACCTTCCAGATCCTCACCTGTCAGGGCATGGGTCAGTTTCAGGCATCTTCAAGTTCTCCAGTTTGCTCCTCTGGATGGAAAGTTCACAAGGAGAAACTCTCTGACTCAGAAACAGTGAAGTTGGGGTCTGTTGAGTCTAGAGGTGATTAGGGACAATGGGGCTGGATGATTCATTTTCATTTTCCTCAGGTCTGAGAGGGCAGGAGCATTTCTTAGGGTTATAAAGGCTCCTGGAAGCCATTCCCCAACGTGTTCATTAGATCCAACCTCAGTATCATTGTTTAGCCTGTTCTCCAGCCAGCTCTGGCTGAATCCTGGGGGCATAGAAGGGCTCTCTTTCCCAGAGGTTAACGTCTAAATGTGGGTCTCAGGGGTATGATTCTGAAGCCTCTTGCTGGGATGCTGTGCAGGCCTCCTGGGCAATCCTTTCTGTGTATTGGGCAATTCAGTGCCTGCCCCATGCCCTAAGATTGAGAAGAAGTCAAGAACTTATGATGTTATTACATGAGCATTTCTGCTGGCCATTTCACTAAACAGAGTAAGCCTAATATGAAGTTACCACTCAAACAAATCCAAAACTCTCTCAACTAAATAGGGTAGTCTATCTAAAGTACGGGAGCTTTGGTAGCATAGTACCTAAGGCATGTGACTGCTAACCAGGAGGCTGGTGGTTCAAACCCACCAGCCACTCCTTGGAAGGAAGGTTGGACATCTACTTCCATAGTGATACTGCCTCGGAAACCCAAGGAGGGGTCGCTATGAGTCAGGTACGACTCGATGGCACATAACAACAACAACAACAACAACATCTAAAGCACACTAGCCATAATGCTGATACATACATTTCCAATGTTTTTCGTAATGCTAATCCATTGTCCTTAGTCATAGTGAACCTATAGGACTAGTAGAACTGCCCCACAGTCTTTCCAAGGCTGTACATCTTCATGGAATTTCACTGTCACATTTTTCCCACAGACTGGTTGGTAGGTTGGAATTGCTGATCTTTCAGTTGGCAACCAAGTGCTTAACCACTGTACCACCAGACCTCCTTCCTGTTAATATAACCTAGTACTTAATTGAGAATGGCCAGACTTCATCTCACTACTTTGGTTATGTTGTCAGAGGGAACCAGGCCTTGGTGAAAGGTATCCTGCTTGGTAAAGTAGAGGGTCAGCAAAAAAAAGATCCTCAATGAGATGGATTGACCCAGTGGCTGCAAAGATGGGCTCCAGCACAGCAATGATCATGAGGATGCTGTAGGACCGGGCAGTGTTTCATTCTGCTGTGCACAGGGTTGCTAGGAGTTGGAACCAACTCGCTGACACCTAACAGTAATTATCGAGCACTTTCTTCACATAATCTCAAGTTAACTTGCAACCCCCCCCCAAAAAAAAAAACTGTCATCAAGTCAATTGCGACTCATAGTGACCCCCATTGGGTTTCTGAGGTGGTAAATCTTTATGGAAGTAGACTGTCCAGTCTTGCTTCCATGGAGTGGCTGCTGGGTTTGAACCACCAACCTTCTGGTTAGCAGTCAGATGCCTTAGTCACTGTGCTACCAGAGCTCCTTAAGTCACAAAAAGAACTATTATTATCACCCATTTTCCAGATGAAAAACCAAGGCTTGGCGAAGATGGTAATTTGCCAAAGGCCATAAACTACTGAATGGAGATGAAATTCTGACCTACTTTTCATCTGTCCTTTGAACTGAGAAGAACATACCCTCCACCTCTCTTTCAGGAGAGAACCCTGACAGAGTTCTAGGGCCCCTAATGACACAGTTTGTGGACATGAAAGAGACAGAGATATGAGATTACCAGATACAGCTTCCCACTATTTCTGTAAACCATGTCCCCTCCGATATCCTAAATTTGCTGTTCAGACTGGCCTAATCAGCAGCACCTTCCTTACTCCAGGTGCATTCTCATGGCAACCTTCTTGTTTCTTTCTCCACTCTGACCTTCAGGGAATCTCAATCCATTAATACAGGTCAGCACATGTATGAATTATTGGGGATGGACTTTTGTTCTTTTCCTCAAGCCCCAAGCAAATCAAGAGATATGGCTGGATGTCAGTTTTGGTTCCCCCAGCATTAGTTTGGCAATTAGGAGTTAGGTCACTGCAGAGCATACAAAGGGCCATCAAGGGGCAGTGTTGCCTATAATTGTCCAACCTCCTAACATTCTAAGATCCCAGCCAAAAAATTACCATCATACTCATAACTCCAAACTGATCCTTCTCTTATACATCCTATCCCACCCACTCCCAATCCCTAAGCTCAAACTTCCATTAATTGATGATGGCATTAAAATTACTCACACTGAAACACAAACACTTATAAAGCTGCACTGACATGGTGTAATGTTAAGTGGGAGGTGCTTTCAGTGGAGATTAGAGGTGGGGTAAAGGAGAACTTCTTGGTACCCTTCCCTAGTTAAGTTATTCAGCTTCCTCTTGATTAGAACCTCCTTTTAAAAAGTGGGCAGTCAAAAAAAAAAAAAAAAAAAAGAGAAAGAAGAAGAAACAGTCAGCAATTTGTTCTGTTCCTTAAGATTGTTAAAACTAATCAAAATTGTTCATGGAGCCTACTCTTTCATTCTGTTCTTAAATATCAGTTCATAGAGCCAGAAATCAATAATAGTCCTTTATTGTGCCACCAACTTTCCATCAAGTACAAAGATCTATTCTACCTTCAAAACTATTCACTTCTACATCCCCAGTGCCATCATCTTCATTGAAGCACACATCATCTGTCACCTGGGTATTGCAATGATCTTCTAGTTAAGCTCTCTGTCTCCAGGCTGTCCAATCCCTTAGCAGCTCATCTAGCATAATGGTGACCTGAATAATCTTCCTAAAATACAAACATAACCTCCCCAGGATTAATGCTTACCCCACCTCACACTTAGTCAATGACAATTTGCAAGGCCACTTCTAACCCTTAGCAGGGCATCCTAAACCCTTCACAACATAGTTCTTTTCTTCTTGTCCAGACTCATCTCCTGATGCTCCCTGGACCTATGATTTACAATACCAACATTTTTACATTTCCCTCAATTTACCATGCTATTTCAACACTCTGGTTCACTCTGCTTAGAATGCTGTCTCTTGTATTATGTATTGTAATCTTGAGCATCCTTCAACACCCAGCTGAATAATTACCCATTGCTATTGAGTCAATTCTGACTCATACTGACCATACGAGGACTGCCCCATAGGGTTTCCAAAGCTGTAAATCTTTTGGAGAGGCTGCCACATCTTTCTCCCACAAAGCGACTAGTAGATTTGAACTGCCAACCTTTCTGTTAGTAGCTGAGCACTTAACCGCTATGCTACCAGAGCTCCTTGCTAAATAATGACCTCCCTTGTAAAGCTTTTGCTAATACCCACACATCATTAATTGTATCTTACCTTGTGCTACTATCATTTATTATATAAACCTCCTTTATCTCTAAACTTCAATTTCCTCACTTGTAAAATAGATAATAGAACAGATATAGAAGCTAGAGAAAGCTAACATTCATTATTCTGAGAGGGCTGACCCTCAGAAGCATTTTTGACCCTATTCATCCTTAACTAAACAGAGCAGTAAAGAGAGAAAGCTTGACCCTTCATTGGATGCTGAAGAATATCTGTTTCTTGGGCTCAGAGTACAAACCAAGGGTCACTAAAGCTGAGAAGTTATTTTTAGGGAGTTAGAATGAAGGGCCTAAATAGAAAGGGACTAAATACAGTGGGAACAACAGAAAATTCCAGACAATGGGTGCTTCCTTTGTCTTTCTCATTCTCCACCTGAATTGAGTCTGTGTCCTGATTGGAACTTAAATATGTGGTAAGAAAGCTTCACAGACAAGTGGCCAGAGAGTAAAATGCTGAACAAGGTCATTATAATCTAGTAGGATGATCAGCGTTCCTAAAATTAGGACGAGACTGCAAGTCTTTTAGTAAAGCAGCTGAACTCATAGCAATGGGCGGTTTCCTGGAGCCAGGAAGGAGACTATAAAGTTTCTTCTCCTGACCCACCATCGTCACCACAACAAAAAACGTGAGAAGAGCACTGAATGAAAGGTGGGAAAAGGAAAAGAGATACCTTACAAATTCTTAATTCTTCAGCTTTTCTATGCCAAGGGAGCTCTGCAAACCAACATCTTCCAAAAATTCATATAATCCACTGCCATCGAGTCAAATTCCAATTCTTATTGACCCTAAAGGACAGAGTAGAACTGCCCCCATAGGGTTTCCAAGGCTGTAAATCTTTACAAAAGCAAACTGCCTCATCTTTCTCCAACAGAGTGGCTGGTGGGTTTGAACCGCTGACATTTTGATTAAAAACCCAATGCTTTAACCACAGCACCACCAGATCTCCTTAATCCAAAGATTCATAAGAACTAACAAATTCCCAGCAAATAGTATGAGAGACATAGGTTCTATTAGCTCTGTAACTTCTGAACCTAATAGGCAAGAGCAATAATCAATAATATTAATTCAGAGTTCACAATTTACACTAAAGTGTAGTAAGGAACAGAGAGAATGACTATAACAGAATTCAATTCAAGTCATCAGATATTTACTGAGCATTTATTTCATGCTGAGTGGGATTAGAGGTCTAACATCTGGGGACATGTGAATGCATGTTTCTATTATAAAGAAGAAGAGCAAATATCATTAAGAGATTGCCACCCCTTTGAAGAGTCTCTCTAAGGCTCCTTTCATATCCTTGTTCCTTAGACTATAAATGAAAGGATTTAGCAAGGGAGTGACCACTGTGTACGTCACAGAAGCAATTATGTCCTTGTCATTGGAGTGGCTGGATGAGGGGAAAAAGTACAGCCCAATAATTGCTCCATAATACAGATATACAACAGAAAGGTGGGAGCCACAGGTGGACAAGGCTTTGCAGATCCCCTTGGTAGATGGAACCTTCAGGATGGTGGCCCCTATGCGGCCATAAGAGATGAGGATGCATATTAATGGGAGAGTTATGACTGCTACTCCCACTGTGAAAATGACCATGTCATTGAGGGAGGTGTCTGAGCAGGACAGCTTGACCAGGGAAGCAAGGTCACAGAAGAAGTGGGGGATGGTGTTGTGAGCACAGAAGGACAAATGGGCCAGAAGGAGGGTGTGAGACAGGGCACTGGCACAGGAGAAGATCCAGGACACAGCTACTAGTAGGGTACACAGACCCTCTGTCATGATGGTGGTGTAGTGCAAGGGGTGACAGATGGCCACATACCGATCATAGGCCATAGAGGTGAGAAGAAAATTGTCCAGATCAGTAAAAAATATGAAAAAATACATCTGTGCTATGCACCCTGAATAGGGGATGGATTGATCCTGAGTCTGCATGTTTATTAACATCTTAGGGACAGTTACAGATGAGAAAGAGACATCAGTGAGGGCCAAGTGGCTGAGGAAGAAGTACATGGGGGTGTGGAGGCGAGGGTCCAGCCTGATGAGCAGGATGATGAGCAGGTTCCCCAGCACCGTGATCAGGTACATGCCCAGGAACAGGGCGAAGAACATGCCCTGCTGCTCCGGCCGGACCGGGAGCCCCAGGAGGAGGAATTCAGACACGGAGCTCCGGTTCTCCCACTTCATGTTGCTCTTCTTTCTGCTGGGATTCAAAGACGGATGAGATTGCTAATTATTTTAGCAGTTATATTAAAAAGATACATGTTCTATTTCAGAACAAGGGAACTTAGTCTGTTTCTCAAATTTTCCTTTTATGTTGGTACATAAAGGAATTAGTAAAATCATCGATGAGGCAAATGTTAACAAGAGTCAACATTTCTTGGTTTTCTGACTGACAAAACAGAACTCTTGCATCTGAAGCATTGAGGACCAGATCATGGGAAATGGGATTGTATCCAAGTTATTGCCCCAAGAGGGTTCTTTGGTGAGTATTCCTAATTTTCAACCATGGCACAGCTATTTTTGGAAGATTTGACTTCAACACTCCTGGTTAAATTTCAGTGGTGAGGCACATTTTCAAAATAAAGGATGTGAACAATAGTACTGTATTCTCAAAGAACACTCATCAATATGCTTAAATTTTTATTTGTTTTAAATCATTAGAGGGTCCCTGAGAAACTCTGAATTGTATCAATCCATTCACCTTTTTCACTTCAGCCAGATATCTTTCTTAAAGCCTAAATTTTAACAAGCCTTCCTCTGTTTAAATCTCAAGTGATTCTCATTGACCTTAGGATAATGTAATAACCAAATATAATTTAAGAGTCCTGTAAAATCTGTGTCTCTCCTACATTCCCCATTGTCATCACTCTCACCCTCACTGACATATCTGTTCTGGCTTCCTTGGAAAAACACACTTCCATTTGATGTAATGTTTTAAGTCACTGAGTTTGTGGTAATTTGTTATAGTAGCAATAGGAAACTAATACATCAGAATTGTATATCCATATACTCTAGTGATCTGGGTACCACTATGCACCACATACAAGTGTGTCCTTCCCCAAATTGCATTTTGCTTACAAGAAAACAGACAGTCACTTAGCAGAGCTCACTTCTGTGCAACAAGTAGGGGAACTGGGTTACTATTTCATTAGAAATATTTGTCACTAGTGACAAAAGAGGCTACCCTTTCTCCTAAAAAGACCACCCTTTCTCCTACAAAATCTCAAGATTTACCTCTCTTTGGATAAGGAAAATCAGAGTATTAGAGAGGATTCTTACTTGTCAAGAAAACTTCTAGTCAGGATCTGAAATTCCACAGTATTCAGGTCAATTGTTGTTGTTGTTGTTAAGTGCCGTCGAGTCGTTTCCGACTCATAGCGACCCCATGCACAGCAGAACAAAACACTGCCCGATCCCGC